CTGCTAAAACCATACTATGCTGAAATACAGAAAGAAAAAGTTTTACAGGGGGTTGTTTTTTCATAGAGATTGCAGAAATGTGGTACACCTCATTCAACAGAACACTAAAGAAGGAAATAAATCTTAAAACATCTACTACTCAGCTATCAATACCTGACAGGGCACTAAGCACCCCACAACTTCACTAGAAACTAATGATCCCAGTAAGCTTCCAAGTAAGGTCCAGATTACCTTTCTCCATGACAGCAAGCAGCCATCAAATCCACTAATCCATTTTTTCTGTTAATGTAAGAGATCCTTTCCAACACATACAATGTGCTAATTTTTAAGGTATAGATAAGGCAACTCCAATATGTTCAGATTTATAACTATCTGAACCAAGATGGGATAGATTATTAAAACTGCATATATACTGAAGAAAACCTTCCATCACTGCTGTAACTAAGGTATTCATCACCTGATCTCTTGAATTTCTGAATAATCCATGAGATCCAGACACCTCATTATTGTTTGCAATTCTTCCTAAGGAGAAATAAACATCCATCTACACTTGGAAATCAGTGTTGTTTCCTGACTGATCATGTTTTGTAGATCGATCTATTAATGATGTATGCATTTTCAAAACTCTCATTAATTGTATATTTATTATTGCGTCCTGTATACTTAATTGGTAAATAGATGTTTACTATTTATGTCACGAATCACGGATGTTTTGACATATTCTAATTTGACTCAACTAATATAGTAACACTGGTATTTTCCATTAACACCCGAGGAACACAAAAGTCATGATGATATAGTATTATGTAAGATGATACAGCAGGGGTAGGCAACATTTTTTGGCTGGAGTGCTGAAAAACACCACAATGCCTACCTCGGAAGGTGCTGGAGTGCCAGCATGGCAGAACAACAGAACGAGGGCAAGGGGTACATGGCAGGATGCCCTGCTTGTGCCCCTGCCCTACTGCCCCAGGACCCTCACCCAAAGCCCCTGCCTCTCAGCCCGGGCACTGGCTGCCAGCAGTCCTACTGCCAGGAGATAGTTAAAGCCCAGTGACTTCAACAAAACTTACTGCATTTGGCTTCCATGTCACTTTTAAGTACAGAGTTTTACACCTAACACCATCACACAGCTTTTAGCATTCGAGCACTTCCACACTCTCACAAGGACATAGAATGGCTTTTTTTTTTTTTTTTTTTTTTTTTAAATAAATGCAGCTTTTATGAGATGTAGTACATTCAGAACCTAATTTCAAATCTCCCAGTGCTGCAATGCAAACTTTAAACATGGAAAAGCTAGAATATAGCTTACTAATTTGAATAGAAGAGTTGGCCTTTTCTGCCCTAATATACTGAACAGTTTGATATACCTGAATTTGCACCCCATTCAAACATTCTCATGTTAATGCTTTAAATCAGAGGTAGGCAAACTTTCCCAGCCTTTTCCTGTCTTTTTGTAGACAGGCAGGTAATTAGGACCCTATCCTGCCTCTGCAGGGGAAGAGCTCCTGCAGCCAACATCCCCCACCGCTAAACACAACCAAAGCCCCACATCCACAGGCTGGATTCAAGTGGCTCAGATAAGGTCTGAGAGCCATAGGTTGCTAACTGCTGCTGTAAACTAAGATGTCCCTGGACAAGTAGAAGTTGTATCTATAGTTTTCTGCCCCCTCTAAGAAGGACCAGAGGACCCCCCTCTCCCCCTCCAAAAAGGACCAGATAAAAACATATTTTACCACAATAGAAAATGCAAAAACAAGTGTAACTTGAAGAATATTGTCTTAACAAGGCATTTCATTTGAGACTCTCTCCAATGCCAGCAAATCCTCAACTGTTAGTTTAGATCAAAGATGTTAAACATACGGCCCATAGATCCGGGTCATCTGGCCCACAGCTTTGATGGGGCAGAGATGGGGGGGAAGAACGGGCATTCCTTTGGCTATAGCCAACTGCCCAGGCAAGTGCTGGAGCCCCAGAAGCATTGCAAGATGAAGCCTGACATCACAGTTTGCTCCCATTGGCAGCCAAGCACCCAAGCAACAGCTGCAGTGCTGGAGCCCCAGTGGGAAGAGGCCTGATGCTGTGGCTTGTTCCCGTGGCAGCAGCCAAGTGCCCAGGATGCCAGGCCTTTTTCTACCAGGTCCCAGAGAAGAAGCAGGGTGGGAGAGGGGTGATCTGTGGGCTGGCCCATGGTGCCAGCCCTATACCATTCATTTGGCCCGTGGATAATCTCATGTTCAGCTGGCCTGTGGGGACAGGTAAGTTTGACATCCCTGGTTTAGAATAACAGATTAAAAGACTTTGTTGATCATCACCTCCATCTCTTCCCTTACAGTTCATTTTACAGAGCTTTGTTAAATCTTGTATTTGTCTAAACTATTTGTAAATTAATAAATATTACAAAAAAGCAAATGTACAGAAAACTCTGTCCAGACTGCATTCTCTTCCAAATCTTCGTATAGAAAACAAGAACTCCAGTCTCACCTTTACTAGGCTGGCAGCAAATAGCTGTGAGACCTTCTTTTGATACAGATAAAGGATGACACCCCACTAACATTGCTACATTAGCTCAGGTACCAGAAATTTGAAGGAAAACCCTATTGTTCACCAGTGGGGCTGAAACCTGTATGCATGTCAAAAATTCAGTCCATTTCTTAAAAACACTAGGCATTCTTTCTTATACACAGTAAGTGAAATTTAAGTTTTTAAGGTTGGTAAGCATTTCCTATTTTTGAGTCAAGATACGCATAGGCAAGCTGAATTCTGGCATTCCTAAATTTGGTCTGCTTAATTGTTTGCATCATAATGCAGTTTTTAGTTAAACAATCACTTACTGCTCCTCACCCCCACCAGTGCAACTCCTGTCCAATTCATCTTCAGATCCATCCAATGCATTGAATGTTACACGGATCCTAGGTATGACAATACTCAAGGGAAAGGAATAACCTTAGTTTTGGTATTTCCTAATGTTTGACTTTGCAGCCCTTATACTCTTAACCTAGATGTGTAATATAATCAAACACAGTAACTGCATATCTTAGAGTTACAGTGGCTAGGGACAGAACTTACACACAAACCAGTTTAAGATATATATTGAAACCAGTTCAAATTAATTGAAAAATTAGAATATGAAACAGAAAACCTTAAGAAACTGAGAAAAAGCCCCTTCCTTGGTCAAAAATATTATTGCTTCCACTGCTTTATCAAGTGACTATTGTATATATTAAAAAAAAAAAAAACAAAAAAACCAAAAAAAAACACCACACAAAACAAAACAAACAAACAAAAAAAACAATGGCAGGAGTCAGCAACTTATGGCCTGCAAAGCCAAAACTTCTGTGACCTTTCAGTTGGTGGTGGAGGGGGGCAAAAACAGGGGGTGGTGGGAGAAGAGGGGACCCAGGGCTTCACCAGTGTGGCAGCCAAGTCAGAAGGGCTGGCATGCCTTAGACTGACCTGGATAATCTCTCCTCACTGTGAACCATTGCCAGCTCCTGGTCTGTGGTACACAACAACATGTGAAAAAAGCAAGTTTGCTATACCAACTGATAGTCTATAAAGTCATCTACCAACACTTTTTAATACAAGTTGGATAATTTAATGTTCCTATTTATGAAATTACAAATGCCATGACACTTGGTACTTCTATCAAACTGAAAATACATACCATAATGTATGGTATCACACACACCATTGCTAACATGACAAAATATTAAGCAGTCAAACTCAAAACTCATGTAACAATACTCTTACTCTTCTTTCTTCCTTTATGAAAACTTTTGAACACATGGTTGGCCATTATGATGACATGTAAACCATCTTCCTGTATACGTTATACACAAATATTCAGCTATAAACCTTGTCTCCAGGTTGGAATAGCTCTACAGGGATACAAAGAATGAATTGCAGTTAACTACATTTAAAAACAAACAAGCCAACCAACCCATTTTTACCCATATCCAAGATAACCCTGAATTTAGGAGGACACCCAATAATCAGATTCTATACATGGAAAAGTTATAAATTAGTTATCATTTTCCATGTATGAAACCTAATTATTAGAGTATTGTCTTAAATATGTTCCCCCACTACTGCAGACAGTGGCAGACAGGTGATGAGGGGGGACAGTAGCAGGACAAGCAGTGGGGGAGAAGGGGGAGCATAAAGTAAGGCAGGAGGTAGGGGAGGCGATAAGGGGAAAGCAGTAGAGGCAGGCAGTAAGGGCCAGGTGGTATGGAGGCAGGCACCTTGCCCCTTGCCCCCCCTCCCCCCACAACTTATGACCTCTTGTGCCTTCCCCCTTTTTCAGC